GTTGTTATCTATATATTATAGTTGTTGTTTTGCTTGTTGCTATCGCTCCTCTATAGTAGTTAGACCTTTAATTCCTCTGATCTGTGTTGTTATCTTTATGGTAGTCGTTTTGCTTCTTGCTACCGCTCCTCTACAGTGGTTAAACCTTTAATTCCTCTGACGTGTGTTGTTATCTTTAATAATGAAGCAGTGTGAATACCATAACAATATTTTATCAACGAAGAAAATGTTCATATTGTAACTTTTTACTACCGCTCGGTGGCGATTACAGACCATGAAATGAGAAGCCACTGGGGCACGAACAATAATAAGAAAACCAACAATACCTTCTGATAACAAATTAGTTTATTGTTTATCGATACCGTTATATATAGAAGTTTATGTACTCTATATTTTCTTTTTAATGATTTCAATATCACCCCTTCGTAAGAATACAAATTAGGACTTAATATGTATTTATGATCAACATTCCTTTATTTTTATCGACCTCAGAGAATTCGCAGAACTTTGGTACATTACCTTTATTGGTTAAAGTATTTAGATTGTACATTTAATTGTTGTTGTTTTTTAATGAACAATTTAAGTTCCTTATTGTCTATTATCTCTTTGGTTTTGATGCTGAGAAAAAATTCAGCATAGAGTCAATAATGTCATTCTTCTAAGAAAATCAATGAAACGTCGATACATGAATGGTTCCAACCTAGTATAACGTACTTAGTGCACATTAAGAAATCTTGTTTTCATGGAACATTTACTTCATACCATTAGTTTTTATGTTTCAACTTTACAATCCATTTTACTTGATGTTATATGAGGAGTAGTCATTGTTCGGTGTATAGAATAAGCACAACAATGTCATTTTGCACAAGTGCAATTAATACTTTACAGACAAACAAGAAGCTAAATAGTGCGCTATCACAAAAAGAAACGGAACGTATTCTACTAATTCCTGTGTTAATTCTATTGATGCTATCAACACAGGTTTCGAAGTAATTAAGCACGATAAACTTGAAATGGTGGTTTGTTTTGTGCTGGAAAGAATTACAGTAATGAGTTATATATTCAGAGGTTTATTAGTTTCGCTGGTTTTTGACATGAACGTATTTTTGTTTTGTTTTATATAATTCGTTAATTTTATTTTTGTTTTTAGAAAGCTATTTCAGGGCTATGTTTATCTTGTTTAGTTTGGTTTATGAGTCGTTTTTTTTACTTTTATAAATCTGTCTCTTCTTCGTAGAATTCTTATTTTATAATTGTCCCCTTGTATGTATAAAGGAATTAAATCCCCCCTTTTTTAACAGAGAGGGCCCAAATCTTTATATTTTATCAAATGTTGTTTATGGACGACGTAAACAAATCTGATTCACTGTATAAAAACACAAACAAACTGTAATTACCAATGTTTGCTTTCGTGTCAGTAGCCGCGTTCTTTTTAACAGTAAAGTCCTAAAAGAAATACACTTTAACCAGTTACAGAATTGCCCTAGTGTACCACTTATAAATTTGTATGGTATAATTGATGTTTACGTGATGTATACGCATCATACCCTTGGTTACAGTTGCTATACTTTTTGTTGTTTTTTACATTTACAAACAGTAAATGATTGCCAAACAATGAACAAAGTTTTACAAGAACATGACTGATAGTGTGCTAATTTTCTTTCAATTCAAGAAGATTGTTGTTTCGTTAAATAAACGCGGTGAACCAAAAATAACAACCAAAAGGAGCAGGAAAAGTTGACATCACCACTGAAGAAGTGAAATAGAAAAACATTTTGATAAATGTTCCATATACAGATATGTTACATAAATATCACATGTGTTAAAATACACGACGTAAATATATTCATAATTAATTATCTCAGATAAGTACATTATATGCACACACAAAAAATGAGATCAGTCAAACTAGGCATATGGGTGCACGAGTTTGTGTAACTCTGTCGTAGAACATTCCTCAAAAATCTTAGTTTTCTTTTTTACATTTAGGTAATAATTATATCTTGGCGGTTTCTTTAGAAACTGGAGTTTGCCGCGGGGATTAAACACGAGTTGATCTTGCTAAATATACGTTTTCGAACTTTTGACATGACATGGCTGTGGTATAATTTTCGGCAGTGAAACAGATGTAAGAGTTCATGTGCTCATAAGAAGCACCAACTTAGTTAAAGTGTGTCTTGGCAACGTTTGACGTACGTTATTGCGTGGCCTGAAGATGAGACTAAATATAGCCGCTCGTGCCGGGAGTTAGCTTAGAAAAGAGTTGGTGATCGGGTAGACTAATCAGAGTCGGGTTTTTTTGGCTCTCTCTCTCTTCTTGTAGCTTGTTACAAGGTTTCTGGATACACCGGACATTAGTCAGATCTTTCTAAACTCCGACTATAACGCTATATGTTTTTTTTTTCACATTCTATTTTTCCTCGTTTTCTAAAGCGATTGTCCATTTTACTGCAGTTTTCTGTGAGCGTAAAAATTGCAAGGAGAAAATACTCATTGGCTAATAACACGTGCTGTGTGTCAGTTTCCCTCTGTGAACAGTTCAGTACATTTATCTCGGGAAAACCTCGTCTTGTGAAAATAAACACACCAGGGAGGAATACGCAAACGCCAGGTCAGCAAGAGTAATAGAAATGTGGAGCAGAACGTGCGCTTTATTTCTAGTTTAAGTACAACATATTCTCTGTTATTATCTAGCCGTCTAGGAAGGAATAAAGGGTATTGACCTTTTTCGTTTTCTCAGTAAAGTTAGTATGAAGTGCCCAGAAAAAAGTGTGAAAGATGATGGAAACTTTTCGACTCCAGTTGAGATTACTGGCCGAAGCGTTGCCGTGATGACCGTTGTATCTGGCGGACTGTCTAGCTCATTCTGTGACAAAGGTGTTCAGGTTAGTGATTGTCAGAGAACAGACAGCTATGAACGGATTACTGCTGGAGGTCTTAAATCACGAGATGCAGAAAGGATTTTGTGGCGGCAAGATAGCGAGCGAAGTGATTCGGTGCGATCCGCCGATGCCCAAACTTCTGCCGGCCACAGCAGCAGAAGATCGGCCCGTCGTAGCAGCCACCGCCTGAGACGGTCTGTTTCGGCAAGGGAAGGGGAGCCCGTGCGAGTCAGGCCTAAAGTAAGGAGGAGTATCAGCGAGAGAGGAGAACATCTTAATCGACATCACAGGCACCATCGCCGGTCGTCCCAGCGCGGAAGTCAGCGCAGTCGACGGATGTCAGATTCGGGTATTGGCAATCTAAATCGTCCTCCATCCCAAAGCAATATCAAAAAACAACAATGTTTCTTCTATGAAAGGAAATGGAAGGATAGCAGAAACTGTAGCTGTCGAGTTAGGCCTAGTTGAAGCCCCAGGGGTGAGCCTGAAAGAAACGCGAAGACGACAGATAGTATTTGCAGTCGTCTTAATTTCTTTGGCAATTCTCACAGCAAGTGTCTTGCTGGTAGCTATAACACTGTTCATTTCACCATCAGCAGATAATGTCAGTAAGTAAACCACCACAATCTTTACGTGAATGTAAACACAAAACCTCTGATATTTTTCTTAGCAGATAACATTTTCAAAGTATTAAGATTAAATGCAGATATTCTAATATAATTTCATAGACTTCTTTTTATTAAATTCATCAACTTTAAATGAATAAAAGTTTGGAGAGATCTCTCGTAATGTTTTTAACCACAAAAGAATTTAGAAATTGTAACCATATTTGTGGCGGAGAACAAAGTTATACGAACCTACGTGTGCTTTGTAAGACAACATACAATTTTCCACACTAGGTGGAATTCTGGTAATACCATAGTCACCTAAAGTAGACTACAAGAACCTACGAACCTACGTTTGCTTTGTAAGACAGCTTACAATATTCCACACTAGGTGGAATTCTGATAATACCACAGTCACCTAAAGTAAATCTAAACTTATTGTATTTGATTAAATTAAGAGTTGCGGTGAAAATTTGAAATGCTTAATTTGTGTTGTTGCAGTTACAGATTTTCAGTTTCATACATAAGTTTAGTACTTTTTATGGGAGTGTAACGCAGTGGTTAAAGTGGAAATCCATAATTTGGGAACCTAGTGTCATTAAGTCATTCTTGTTAGACGATTTTTAAAAAATCAACTGTCCAGTGCAACATGCTATTAAGTATACACTGTATATTGGATAAGAAAAAGTCACTATCAGACTACAAACATTGTTGTAAGACCTCTGGCGACTTTACGTGACAAGGTACAAAGTTCGCTTCGCCCATCGCTTCCAGATTCTTCTAATTGTGAATAGACGCTTCCAGTTCCTTCTAATTGTGAATAGACGCTTCCAGTTCCTTCTAATTGTGAATAGACGGTTCCAGATCCTTCTAATTGTGAATAAACGCTTCCAGTTCCTTCTAATTGTGAATAGACGGTTCCAGTTCCTTCTAATTGTGAATAGACGGTTCCAGTTCCTTCTAATTGTGAATAGACGGTTCCAGATCCTTCTAATTGTGAATAGACGCTTCCAGTTCCTTCTAATTGTGAATAGTTAGTCGCAGTTTCAATCTTACCCGGTGGAGACCAGTTTTCGCGTATAAACGTATACACCTATATATAATTTTCCGCAAACTTTCAATTATCCCATAAAATTGTTTTATCTCCATTTGATCTTTTTGTTTCTTATAGACAGGGTGGCTCTTTTTTAACCTATTCTCTCTCACCTCCTGCTACGAAAATCATAGAACTATATCGTTAGCCCACTGATTAAATTGAGGTTGGTCCACCCATTCTCTCTCACCTCCTGCTACGAAAATCACGGACCAACCTCAGTTTAACCAGTGGGCTAACGATATAGTTCTGTTAGAGGTAACGTTCTTTGTGTTTTATTTCTAGCATTTTGAAAGACGTGAATTGTGCTTTATTATTAGGCTTTGTCTTCCAAGTAAAGAGAATCCCAAGTGTGTTGCGTAAAAAATATTTAATAAATAAATCATCCTATTTGTAGTTAATGGAGTCAAAGATCAATTTCTGAGTAAAGTTATTATTAGTGTGCAATCAAAAAGAGAAAGCGCTTTTAAGAGGAGGTTTCTTCTTGCCTGTTTTTAAGTACTCGAAGGTCGAATATTTACTTTGCTCATCTTGTACTTAGGTTTCCGTATTGTAAGCACGAAGCAGTAATCTCTCTGTCGTAGTTCGACTTGAGCAAATATACATGAGGTCATCTGGGTACTTATTTTAGTTTCTTATATATGTTTTAAAGAGCTTTTGTGTGTGTTCATGGTTGTATTCTTAGTAACTGTTCGTTTTCTTTTAGTCGAGGTACGTGAACCGAAGGTCGTGATCACATTGTGTGGTATGGTGAAAAGATAAACTTGCCAGAAAGTTAGAATGGGCTTAGTGTTTTTATCCATACTTTGACTGTACCTGGAATTTAGTGTGATGGGCTGTTAAATTTAATTTGTTGGTAGCTTAACGCTTCTAACGGCTGTCCAAATAACTTAACAACACATTACTTGTATTGTTAAGAGAGCTTAGTTTATGTATGTGTGGAACGTAAGTGAAAGAATAAATAAAACTAACACTGTGATACAATCGTTATTTCGTCCGATACTTGTTTACGTTTGTGTGTGGAATACTACTAAATAAATAATTAAAACTAACACTGTGATACAATCGTTATTTCGTCTGATACTTGTTTACGTTTGTGTGTGGAATACTACTAAATAAATAATTAAAACTAACACTGTGGTACAAAAACAAGTATCAGACGAAATAACGAACGTTTGTGTGTGGAATACTACTAAATAAATAATTAAAACTAACACTGTGACAAACGTAAACAAGTATCAGACGAAATAACGATTGTATCACAGTGTTAGTTTTAATTATTTGTTTAGTAGTATTCCACACACAAACGTAAACAAGTATCGGACGAAATAATGATTGTTTTAGTAGTATTCCACACACAAACGTAAACAAGTATCGGACGAAATAATCATTGTATCACAGTGTTAGTTTTAATTATTTGTTTAGTAGTATTCCACACACAAACGTAAACAAGTATCGGACGAAATAATCGATTGTATTTTAATTATTTATTTCTAACACTGTGATACAATCGTTATTTCGTCTGATACTTTTTTTAACTTTGTGTGTGGAATACTATTAAATAAATAATTAAAACTAGCACTGTGATACAATCGTTATTTTGTCTGATATTTGTTTACGTTTGTGTGTGGAATACTACTAAACAAATAATTAAAACCAACTGTTATTTTGTCTAATACGGAGCAGGGAACAACATTTGTTGTAAATAAAACTAGATGCAAATAAAAGAAATAATACACAGATCAATACATTCGAAACTCTTCAAACTCAAAATTAAAATAAGTATATATTTTCTTGAAGCACATATACACTGTAGGAACGTTTAAGAACTAAGAATATTATTTGCGAAAGTTTTTTTTTATCTAGAGAATCGGAAGTGCAATGCGACCCCTATAATGGAGACCTGAAAGACAAGAAAACGTGACAAATATAGAAACTGTAAACACCCTCTTATAAACAGTAGGTTAAAATTACTGCCTTTGAAAACCAAGAGCCTCATTTTCCGGTTTTAACTGTCATTTTCTTCTGTGTCACATATACATATGTATATATCCGTGTTGTTTTTAACTGTGTATATATATATATATATATTTATTTACTTTATTTCCCTTAGCTAGATAGTTTTTTTATAATAGCTAAGCAAATATAAGACAAGTTTTTCCTTGTTTTAAATTTAATTTTTGTTTCTGTTATTTTGCAATATTTTGACATATAACGAAAAAGCCCTCTTGCGGACGAAACCTTTTTGCTAATCGTAGTTAGGCTTTGTGTGATTTTTTTTTTAAGACGGTATATTTAAGGAAAACCTTGGTATAAAATATTTTACGTATTTCTGACTTCAGTAAGAATAACGTTTTTAAACTTTATTTCTGTAGAATGTATATAGAAATGTAAATGCATCTTGCTTTCTCAAACCGATGAATATCTCTCTGAAGTGAATGATACACTTAATAAATATCGAAGCCATTTAAAGTTGTGTGTTTTATTGCAATACGATTTTTTAAACTGAAATTGTTGATAAAATTAGTTAAGAAAAAACAAATTCCTAGGCTGCTTTTCTTTGCTAAAATTTAACATTAAATGGTCGTGTAGTCTAATGTCCGAAAATGTCTTTCTTGTTTGTGATTTTGAATTTTATAAATAGTACACAATGCCGACGCATGGCATTGTTTCGTGACCGTATTTTTACGTTGTTTGCCATCAATTGTGATAATATTTGCTTTACTTCTGGCGTGATAACGCTGCAGAGACAAAAGATTTATGTATTTGACGTATTTTGCAGATTTCTATATTGGTTTCAACGTGCTGTGAAAATGAAATGATACATATTTAATCTAGAATTTGTATTCTATAAGTTACTACATCCTTTAATTTATTCCCACTGTTTAGCTCCAGGAGCTAATCAAATACGTCCATGAAATCGTGATATCAAACGATAGGTTATCTGTGTTCTGCCCACCACCGGTATCGAAACTCGGTTTTTAGCGTCGTAAATTTACAAATGATGAACAGTCTAAATAATCTTAAAGATTATGTCATCAGCATTTGTTTCTCAAGCCGCTTAAATATATATATACTAACTGGTGGCGTGCCTCCCAAGGGTGGCGAGGGATCGCATCCTTGCGGAAAAATGAAATAAATACCGTACACATCTATCCTAACAGGTAATTATTATCTCACATAAAATGTACATAGCATAAACTTACGTCAATGTCTACGTTATTCTGCGGTATACTATAACTTTTAATGTTTAGTATAGTGTCATATTGAAGGTTTGTTATCGGTATATATACATATGCGTGTGTGTATGGGGTGAGCGGTGTCAGGTACCACAGACAAAGAGGAACGCTGTCGTGTCGAAAAAGTTTGGGAATGACTGTTCTAATCTTTATGAGTAGTAACAAAAAACGTCTTGAAGGTTATGCCACCTTAAAATAATTTACTTTGCTCATTTTAAGTCTTCTTCTTCCATGGTGGCTCAGGGCTAATTTCTAAGGTTTATAACGCTAAAGTTCAGGTTTCGATCTCTGCGAGGGGGTACACCCTAGATTGCTCATTATGCAGCATTGCTATTAAAATAGTGAACAAACATTTTAAGTTCTCTCTTTAACTGTTTTAACTATTTAACTCGATTCTCTTAACAGAACTTAAATTCTATACGTGCGCAGTATTTAATATGAATTCAAAATCACTTTACTAGGACCCATTCTATCTCATAAATATTTAACGCAAAAGAATCTCTGAGCACGTCCTAATTATTTTATAAAGAAAAAAGTTGTACATCCGTGTACATTACGTTGTGACCAACATGCAAGTGAAAGCATGATAATCCGATTTACAAATACTTTAAAAATATTGGATTAAAATTTGTTTTACTTGCCTATTTAATCCACTTTTTTCCATTAGTTTT